TCCCTAGCTCGGACGTAATTAACCCACGTACGTGCAGTCCATCGTACATCGCTGGCGGCTATGCGGTCTATCTCTACAATCAGCCACTCGGGAGAAATCACAAGTTTGGCGGAGAGAAGACGCGCGCGCGTATTGTGTTTTGTGTCGAGCGGGACTGCGGCGACTGCCGACGACGTATTCTGTTCATCGGACACAATAGCGCGAGTCGCCTGTCGTTCGTGTGCGCGTGTTAGAGACGAATACTTGGCGAATGGAAACAGTCTTTTACAGTCGGTAGCGCTAATGGTCGGTGGTGCGTAAGCATTGTCGCTAGCTGGTCGGCTTTTGTTGTCTCGTCCTGAGACTACTGTATATACGACAATATATATACATAATATCAGAAGTAGATAATAGGGAATAGTTCCCTATTATCTACTTCTGATAATATATATATATACGACGATATATGTACATATATATATATATTAGGCAACAGATAATACCGTTCTTCGCGAGGAAGAAACAACTAGGTTACCGCTAGTATATATATATATATATTACGTGCGCGCGTGTGCCGGCGTGCGTGCGCGCGTGTGCCTGCGTGCGTGCGTGTGTGTGTGTGTGCGTGTTATATCGCGTGGGCGCTTGCGCGCGCGTGTCGTTAAGACTTTGTCGTCTATATAATATTGCGTCGTTTATTCTCCACTTACTTAGAAGCACTTCGCACGCGGCTGTGACGTCGTGTCTTCTGTCATTCGATACCCCTTAGCGATGCGTCGCACCCCCGCTAAATAGCCGACGCGACGCGAGATCGATGTGTGAGAGCAGCGATGTGAACGTTACAGCAAGCTCAGCAGACGTAGACGTAGACGCAGTTCACCAGATTTGCGTGACTACCCGCGCTCGCACTGCCGTCATCTCTGAGTCACACTTACAAAGATATATCGCGTCTATCGGGCCGGATATGAGCCCCCAATAGAAGCTATAATAATATAATTGTATGAAAATTTTATAATAGAAGAATATAATTAGCGTACTCCGGTTTTTGTATTACAGCTGTAATAACACCGTTAGAATGATCAGCTCACACGGGGTGCATAACGCGTCCCATAGTAGAGGAGTCAATGTACGGATTTGAACAGAGAATGAATTCATAACGATGGCGAATATATTAACACGCTATGTCTGCAGAATGACGCAGGTTCTTCTACCATTAGAATTGGCTTCGGCATTTAAGTGGCACTAGACTGGGTGATTAGAAGGCAATCTTTAGGTTAATTAGCCGTAAAACCTAATGGATAATTCCGTAGAGACGCGAAGCAAGCTTAATGACCGAAGCTTGTGGTCCTCAGATGCGAAACAGAATACGTTATGTGCTTCACCGCTAACTTTATAGTTCAATAGAATCGAGTGATAAGCTCTTCGAACCCACGCCGTAGTAGTGGAACTGCGTCCCGTAGAGACGGGCATGGCCTCCGTTTTACACCTGCACGGCACTGTGCAAACTCACTATACAAATCATCAAAGCCTATTACGAAGATTTTCAAAGGTTTACATTTCAAATGAAATTAAAATCAAATATATTTATCAAATTATTTTATGATGGTATTGACACAAAGTTTCTGTAGAAAACAAATATGTGTACCTGACCAGACGGAAACGTACTCGCCTACAATCTTCGCCAAGAATATCTCAAAGAACGATTTTAACCAAAGCGATCGGTTATTTGAATAGTAACGAATTCCTTTTTCTATAGAATGAGATCACGCTGCATATCAGCGAGTCGTCCGTCTCATGTGGTTAATGTCGAGGAGACAACGATCGTTCTGGAGCAGTCAGTGTTTAACGTTGAGATTACAATCTGAATAGAGCAAATTCGCCAGTTTGCAAAGTTAATGTTGTAAGGCACACACGTACGCGTATAGGCGCACACATATATTTGTCAGCAGAGATTTAGTTAGAATAGCTTTACTCTGTATATTAACTCCCTTGCGTGCGTCAGGCGGCAACCATACGTAGAATTAGTGTATTCGGCAGGAGGAATAATAATAGCAGCGTGAATTCATGGTCCTCCGCCTAGTCGCCACTGAATTTACATAAACGCGCGCGAGAGAAATAGTGTCGCATGCGCGGCATGAGAGAGAGAGAGAGAGAGCGAGAGTGCAAGAGAGAGACAGAGAAAGAGAGAGAGATAGAGAGAGTGAGAGTAAGAGAGAGAGAGAGAGAGTGTCGCATGCTCGGCATGAGAGAGAGAGAGAGAGAGAGAGGAGCGAGAGTGCAAGAGAGAGACAGAGAAAGAGAGAGAGATAGAGAGAGTGAGAGTAAGAGAGAGAGAGAGAGTGTGTGAGAGAGCGATAAAGTGAGAGAGCAAGAGAGAGAGAGGGGAGAGAGGGGGGAGAGAGAAAGAGAAGAGCAAGAAAGAGGGAGAGAGAGAGAGTGTGAGAGAGAGAGTGTGAGAGAGAGAGCGAGTGTGTGTGTAACCAGACAAGAGAAAGAGAGGGGTGGGAGAAAGCGAAGAGCAAGAGAGGGAGAGAGACACAGAGATAGAGAGAGAGAGAGACAGACAGAGAGAGTCGGCCAGCGCAGACGCAATCCTCATGCCACGAGGAATTCACTCCTCACGAAAAACATGTTGCAGCGACAGCGACTGCCAGAGATAAGCCCGAGACTGTCGCGATCGAGTGGAAAGCCGATTTAGGGCAAGTTTGCCTTTTGCTCCCCCATCGCGGCAGTCGTTACGATCCGGTTTACAAGCCATGTTTGCCTTTCACATTTGCGATTCGGCTGGGCTCACTGCATGCTGATCCGCGAATGCGACGCTGCTTTCAACAACTAGAGAGAACCTTTGCTTTTCGGGAGAGGCTGCGCGGGATGAATAGGATCGCATATATATATATATATATATATATATATATATATATATATATATATATATTACGTGCGCGCGTGTGCCTGCGTGCGTGCGCGCGTGTGCCTGCGTGCGTGCGTGCGTGTGTGTGTGTGTGTGTGTGTGTGTGTGTGTGTGTGTGTGTGTGTGTGTGTGTGCGTGTATGTGTATATCTATGTATTCGGGTATATGTAATGCTATTAGTTGGTAAAGGATAATTTATGCGTAGATAAGTGTACACGTTGTTCTCGCTGCATTCATGACGTTTTACCTAACTCATTAGCGAGGGCCACGAATTTATTGACAATCAAGGTAAAAGCCAGTAAAATGTAAAGTAAAATCATCACGGTATTGTGCCTACCGCGCGCATGCGTACGCCAGCAGGCGCTTACACACGCACGCGCGTACACGCACGCATGCGCGCACGCACACCCTTATACGTGCCACAATTATGTAAATCAGGGTTATGTCGCCGAGGATTGAAGATGATGTTGAATTCTGCGACCTTCGAATAGAATAGCCCCGTGTGTTTATCCAGGCGGATGACAATCGAAACTAGCATGCACCGAGTTCCACGATGGCGGCATGTAATCAGGTCGCGTTGAAGTGCTTATATCCACGATAAGAGAGCAGTTTGTAAACCGGTGCGGGAACAGGTCCGGTTGGTTCTACTCGTTAAAGGGGCGATACCGTCACAAGTACCTATACAGACATTCACCTTCCCATTTTTCAAGCGAATTTTTGTTCAAAGTGATCAATCGTACAAGAATGACAACCTGGCCGAACTAACCGATCATAGCCGCATGACAGCAGCCGATAAAACACAAAGGGATAAAACCTAGAGTAAGAAGTGTCCGTTTAAAACCACCCGGGTCGTTCCAAATTCTTTTTTATTCCACAACGTCGGTTAAACTCACGCGTGTCTCTCTTTTTAATTATTGGGCGAGCGGCCTGTAGGAGCATCATTAGGACTCGCCGTCTGTCAAAAAAAGATAAAGTAAGAGTAGGGCAGAGATAGGCAACAGCTAGGTCGCGAGGTGGCGTGCTTGCTATTACCTTAACCATCTATACCGTGATACCCCCCGTCGTTATATATGTCGTATGTGTATATATATATGCCTCACAGAGATGTTTCACGCCTAGACTGCAAAAAACAACAGCGGTAAGCGCCGCGTGGAGAATATAGGCTAGGTACTGATAAAATTCGAATATATATAGGTTTGCTATTGTAACGCTAGTTCATATAGGTAGCCGTCAGATTTACTTTATTTGATTTAAGCTGTCTACGCGTACACGAACAACTCAGATGTGATGCAGTAAGTTGTGGTTCACACGCAACAAGTAGAGGAGTAACTGTAAGACCGGCTATGGGGGGGAAACAGCGAGCGTATAGAATACGCTCTTTGTAAGTAGGTCTCGTTAACCGTCTAGATGGGTTGTAATTATTTGCGACAGCTTACAACACCGATCGTGTGACACTATATATTATACTAGCTGCGGGTACCCGCTGCGCTGGGTAAAATCGTGCTACTAATTCATACTACTAATAATTGGACACAATAGGAACATTGGGTAAAAATCGACAATATAACATTGCACACAATATCAATATTTACAAATCAGTCTAATAAGATAATAAGCATGGGAAAAACTGTTACGTATGACATTTATATGACAGCAGAACCCAAATTAGAACCCCTGGAACATAATAGTAATGTGGTGCAAATGAGAAAAAGTTATTATAACAGCATGTACGAATGGGTTGCACTTTTCATTTGAAAACCTCTTGATAAACAATGGTTTGCGTGTTATTGTCTGGTGGAAATATGTAGAGATTGCTGGCGTCTCGAACTGTTGAGCTCACCACGTACAGCTATCCATTGTCAGATCGTAGGATGAATAAAGGAAATTGGGTATATCGTATAGATAGAGACAGGCCAGCGTGTGGGGTCTGTGTCCATTGGATATTGTCTAGTGAATGCTTGGCGCGCAACCATGCACATTGAAATAAAGGAATTTTTCTACTGAAT